GTAACGCAGATATTGAGCTGAGCGCTGGATTAGCGCATGTCGAGAAGGCAAACATTTTTGTTTAAAACTTTCTTATTTAACTTTTGACGCCAATAGTTTCAAGCCGCCTGCGTTACTGCTGGATAGTTAGCCTGACTGACTGGTTCGGTTTAAGTGCAACATCCTTTTAGCGCCGCACTTGCAGCTTACATTCACATCTGCGGCATTTGCTTGCAAACAGCTGAACAGTTTTATTTTTATTTTTTTTTTGTGTTTTTTTATTATGTTTTCGGATTAAAACTTTTGCTTCTAATTAAATTTTTACATGGCAGTTATTAAACAAGTTTATTTATTTGCCCACAATGGATTAAATAATGAAAACAATGGAAAATTAGTACTTACATACATACATACTGTATAAACTTGCAAGGCTGGTGAGGGAAGTGTGAAATTCATTTTATGCCGCAAAGTTTAGTGAACGAACGAAATGTGGTTTAGTTTCCTGCCAACTGGGATATGTACTCCACAGACTAGGCGGTGGTTAAATAACGACTGCCTTTTGTGCCACCTCTGACCCGTACTTCTGTTGCCTAGTGATAAGGAGCTTCAGAAGCTGAGCGAATTTTATAACCAGGCCCCAAAAAATAATATTTAGATAGGCTATCGTTGCACACAAAGATAGTCCAAGAAGCTAGTTCGTGCTTCGGAAAGAGCTTCCTTTACTGAATACTGCAGATATATTTAAACCTTGAGTCAACTGGCTAGGCTGGTAAAAGTGCTAAAAAAGGAGGCCGGATAGTTCGTTAAGGAGACAAAGATTGAGACCCTTTCTGTATTACTGCATACTCTTTTACAAATCCGTCTATGCTTGCACATCCCCTCAACAACTTCAAATAGCCTTTTCCGGATTGTTTCTTACCTACTTTACTCAAAAACGGCATTGAGCTCCGGTTCGCGACCTCGAAAAAGAATTTCACTGCGTACATATCACTTGCTTATATTCCACAATCATGGAGACTAAACGAAATCGCCATCATCTGTAAGACTGGTAAGAATGACTACATAGATCCCAAAAGTTTTTCAGACCTCTTTCATGCTTAAATGTCTGGAAAGACTAGGTAAGCTTCACATTCTAAGGGGGGACGTTTTCAGCACCACCCTTTGCCTTCGCAGCAACCCGGCCCATCAAGCGAAAAAATTTATGAAACGACTCTGGAAAATGTGGTTTTCATAATAAGCAATGCCATCACTAAGGAAGAATTTGCCTTGGGCATGGTTGAAGGCAAAGAATGAATAGTACTTGCTAATGCCACCTTCGGTATGAAACTCGTGCTGGTAAATTGAATTTTTTACAGTGGGTCATTAGGCTTAGGTAAACAATGTGGCCTCTCTTCTAAAGATGGACTACAGTGTACGGATACTCCGATGCCACGCTGATCCTTCGTCTGGAAAAGGATATAAGTATCTTACTAGCCGAAGCTCCGGTTTTTTTTTTTNGAAACTCGTGCTGGTAAATTGAATTTATTCAGTGGGTCATTAGGCTTAGGTTAACAATGTGACCTCTCTTCTAAAGATGGACTACAGTGTACGGATACTCCGATGCCACGCTGATCCTTCGTCTGGAAAAGGATATAAGTATCTTACTAGCCGAAGCTCCGGTTTTTTTTTTTAGGACTAGCGTCGACCACAAAATCAAGTTAAAAATATATTCTACGGTTGGTGGCTCCGTCAATGATTATCTTTTTTGACACCGTTGTCGGTCATAGGCGCGTCGAAGCCGATGATAGAGCTGATGAATTGGCGAAGGCGCAAGGTTGTTTTGACAAATTTGAAGCGGTAACACCTTGGATTGGCTAGAAGCAGGTAATGAGATATACAGGCTTGTAAAATATCTAGGGAACTCTGACCTGACTATAACACGGCGAAAGCGTTAGATCTGCTAAATAGACTAAACACTGCCTAGTCTTACTTGACTAAACCATATACATAACTTTTAATAATGACTATTTATACCACTGCACTGTCGTCTAGTTACATCCAGACTACAATAGTCTTCGAGAAAAAGATACTGCGATGCCCTGAAGATATTCAACGTGGTATCCGCTGCTGGTAAATAGCAGGGGCATATGAAGGCCTTCTCAGAAGAAAAATTGTATCTCTTTAGATTAAATTTTCTTCTATCGATGCCAAGTCGAGAATTAATTTTCCATCCATCACTTACTTATAAAATTTATTTNTTTACAGTGGGTCATTAGGCTTAGGTAAACAATGTGGCCTCTCTTCTAAAGATGGACTACAGTGTACGGATACTCCGATGCCACGCTGATCCTTCGTCTGGAAAAGGATATAAGTATCTTACTAGCCGAAGCTCCGGTTTTTTTTTTTGAGGACTAGCGTCGACCACAAAATCAAGGTAAAAATGTATTCTACGGTTGGTGCCTCCGTCAATGATTATCTTTTTTGACGCGGTTCTCGGTCATAGGCGCGTCGAAACCGAGAACGGAGCTGATGAATTGGTGAAGGCACAAGGCTGTTTTGACAAATTTGAAGCGGTAACACCTTTAATTGGCTAGAAGCAGATAATGAGATATACAGGCTTGTAAAATATCGAGGGAACTCTGACCTGACTATAACACGGCGAAAGCATTAGATCTGCTGAATAGACTAAACACTGCCTAGTCTTACTTGACTAAACCATATACATAACTTTTAATAATGACTATTTATACCACTGCACTGTCGTCTATTTACATCCAGACTACAATAGTCTTCGAGAAAAAGATACTGCGATGCCCTGAAGATATTCAACGTGGTATCCGCTGGTGGTAAATAGCAGGGGCATATGAAGGCCTTCTCAGGTGAAAAATTGTATCTCTTTAGATTAATTTTTCTTCTATCGATACCAAGTCGAGAATTAATTTTCCATCCATCACTTACTTATAAAATTTATTTGCACAACTTGAAGTAAACAATTTTCCACTTAAAACTCGTTGATATTCATTTAGACAATAAAAATAGTTGCATTGCAAATTAAATGCACTCTCAAGCAACAACAACGGTAATAAAAAAAAATAGCACTTTACACTTGGAACGAAGAACATTAAAAAGCCATTAAATGTAAGTAGTGAAAAAGAAAAGACAAGACATAAGACAAAAGGTCGAAGTTGTGCTTGGGCGAGTGGGCGAGTAGTGAAGTATGTACTTACTTAAAAANGCACTTTACACTTGGAACGAAGAACATTAAAAAGCCATTAAATGTAAGTAGTGAAAAAGAAAAGACAAGACATAAGACAAAAGGTCGTGGTTGTGCTTGGGCGAGTGGGCGAGTAGTGAAGTATGTACTTACTTAAAAAGCGAATAACTGTATCAATTAAGAATAAATATAAAATATTTGTAGGTGAATTATAAAAAAAATACTCTTGAAAGGCAAAGTTTGAATTATGTGTCTAAGTGCGAATGATACACATACATAGTTTAACTATAAATTTTTTTAGCTATAATTTTCAAGGCCACTGGCGTTTGCGTTTTCGTAATTCAGAAATATTTCGATATATTAATGCTCGTCCATGCTATCTTTGTACGTATGTATGTTTTATATCATCGACGATGTTATAACTGTATCTATCGATAAATTTCTCTGCAGAGTTATTCGATAAAGTTATTATTGCTGTATATTTCGATAAATGCCATTAGATAACGATAAATTTATCGATAGCAATAATTTTTGCGACAAAAAAAAATATATATAACAATTGAAGTGTTTATTTTGCTACATACATATTTTTACCATTTAAAAATAAATACTATATTTAGTATTTATATACTAAGCGTTACCCAAATACCTGGATATTTACTTACCGATACAGGTATATTGTTCGATCAAGTAATCGATATACATATTTATCGATGAAATTTGGACTATATTTATCGATAAAGTAGTCCGTAGAGTGGTTCCCTGAAGNCAATTATGTATCTAAGTGCGAATGATACACATACATAGTTTAACTATAAATTTTTTTAGCTATAATTTTCAAGGCCACTGGCGTTTGCGTTTTCCTAATTCAGAAATATTTCGATATATTAATGCTCGTCCATGCTATCTTTGTACGTATGTATGTTTTATATCATCGACGATGTTATATCTGTATCTATCGATAAATTTCTCTGCAGAGTTATTCGATAAAGTTATTATTGCTGTATATTTCGGTGACTGCAACGATAAATGCCATTAGATAACGATAAATTTATCGATAGCAATAATTTTTGCGACAAAAAAAAATATATATAACAATTGAAGTGTTTATTTTGCTACATACATATTTTTACCATTTAAAAATAAATACTATATTTAGTATTTATATACTAAGCGTTACCCAAATACCTGGATATTTACTTACCGATACAGGTATATTGTTCGATCAAGTAATCGATATACATATTTATCGATGAAATTTGGACTATATTTATCGATAAAGTAGTCCGTAGAGTGGTTCCCTGAAGATACTATCAGTTGTATCTATCGATAACTGTATGTCGGTATAATGATTAAGCTATTAGTAGACTTATTAGATAAATACATTTTCACCTATACTATCGATAACTGCATCGAAATAGCAGAGTTTTTGTATGCTGTATATCTTTGCTTTTCACTTAATTTAAAATAACCTTTATATACCTATGTATTAAACTTTCTATTTATCGATATAGTGTATGTACATTTGTCGATCAAATGTCAGTATTCAAATTTATCGAAGAAATTATGACTATCTATCGATGAAGTAACTATAGAATTGTTTACAAGAGTTACTATAACAGTATCCTTCGATAACTATCGATAATTTATCGATATATGAGGTAATAATTTTTCCGACTGCTATTCATGTAGTAAAGCACATTTATTCATTAAGCCCATTGAAACGCATTTTAATATAATATATTTATATTTTTAATATTTGTAAATTGTTTATTACATTTGTTGCAAAAGAAATCATGAAAAAGTTTTCAAAAAACCGTCGTGTACATTCAAACTTACTTCTACTAGAAAATGTATGCATTAATTTTATTAAGTGATAATTTATAAATCGAGTCCAAAAGTTTGCACATTAAGTTACATTTGCTTTAATGAAGACTTATACCAAACAAAAAAAAAAATTAAAAAAAAGCATCGAAATAGACTTTAAACATTTCTCAGCCGTCAGCTTTTTAGCGCAAAGCATTTCCAATTTTCATTATCCTACAATGTAAATTTAGTATTCCTTACATCCACATGTATCTCCATATAGTATTTGCCACATACATTAACGCTATCTAAGCACTAATCCGCAACAGACGTGCCACCAATACACACAACCCAGTCGCACTCAACATGGTCATGTGGTCGCCAGTGGCCAGACGTGGTGGTGCCGCATTACAGCCATCCTCATAACAGGTACAGATGGTCTGTTTGTAGCCCTCATTGTCAGCATCAAAACAATAGTCTTTCTTCTCACCTACATAGCTTTCCAGCTTGCCACAACTGCGTATGACGCGATTCTCACCACTCACTTCGATTGTTGTAACTGTTTTGCGGCAAAACATATTTGGTTCTGAACACTCTTCAAGGAATTGATCGTCAAGCGGCGCACGTGGTGTAATTAAACGTAACGCATTACAATCCTCCTGCAGATGGGAATTACATTGGTGACAACGTATGGCATCGACTATAGAAGAGAGAAAAAGAAAGAGGTATACATAAGTGAGGTCAGATTTGAAGTAAATAAGAAGTTATAGAGTTTGGGATAAATCTAATATACGACTTAAAATTAAATAATTATATTAAAAATAGTTGATGCATTTCTTCTTTTATATTTCCATCATTTAGGTTAGGTTAATGTGGCAGTCAATCCAAACTCGTTTAGACCCTGCAGGTCCTTTGTGCTGCCACTGCGAAACACAGAAATCTCTTTGACTATATTTCAAGGAACTATCTTGAAGCACTTGCGAAGCGTAGGATTGCTTTTATTCCTACACTGGATAGTTCCGTGAGCGCGCTAAAAGAGTTTTTTCCATTAAAAGCCTGCACTGCTCTTAGCTAAAGTTGGAAAACTGAAGAAGAAGTGTTCTACTGTTTTTCCTCTTCCTCATCCTTGCAACTTCTACAAAATTTATGGGAGAATGGTCAATGAAATTTCCTACAATATCTCTTTGTCCCGAGACCAATATGAGTCTGACCTTGAAGACGGTGCTAATCTCATTTATGGCTACCAGGCATTCTTGTGCAACATTTGATCGCACTAAATGATTTGATGGCCGCCTAGCTGTCCGATATTATCGTTGCCTACGCGATGTTTGCCACTCTCTTCTTGACGGGATTTTCATCTTGAAGAGCCTGCCGAAGGTGAGTCAGGGGCAGAGTAGTCGATTTCTTGATCACAACTAGCCAAACCGCCAATCCTTTCATAAAGCCATACTTTATACTCTGAGCCGAAGCGGCGGCGACGTGTTTTTTTTTAACAGATTTACAGCAGGTAGATTTCTTATCACTTCAAGCGCCTTGTTTGGGGTGGTCCTTAAATCACCAGAGATGCATAAAAAGCGGTTCTTTGAACCTTACTCAATAGTTTTATGTGACTAGCCTTTTGAGTTGATGGCCACCATACAAGTATTCCATATAGTACTAAAGGCCTAATTACCGAAGTGATTCCGACCGCTTGCATAAATTTATCGATAAAGTTATCTGTAGAGTTTTTCGTAAGATTTTCCTTTTTAGATAATTGCAAAATCTTTTTTTTCTATCAGGAATAATTATTACATATAATCATTTAATTTAGATTTTGTTTCGTCAAACTGAATCCTTAATTTTTGCATTTTTGTTTTAGCAAAAAAGATTTTATTTCGGATTTTTTTTTCGGTAAAAAACGTTCCTTTTTTTGTATTTCTATTTTGTATTTTTATTTTCGATCAGGAATAATTATTACATATAATCGTTTAATTTGAATAGATCATTGTATAATTTTTGACACACATTGAAAGGCGAAAACCTCGTAAATCCATTACCGAAACCAAGGAAAGGCTTGATAAATACTACATATGTGTGTTCTGCACTATCAATTGCAATGGTTAAGAAGTGCTTTACTGGGTTTCGTTGTGGCCGTACTGGCACAAGTGACTGCAAATGTCAAGATCGCCCAAAGAGGTCGTCACGCCGCAAATCGGCGACAATATCCATTAAATGATATTTGACATGCCTGGCCTGGACAAAAATTTTGGCCTGAAAATTTTGGGATTTATTCCTTTTATTAGGGTGTTGCTACTTCAGTTTTTTGAATTATCATTACTCTTAAGTGAAAAAATAAAACTCAAAAATAATTATTATCTTTGAGCGAAAAGATAAAAATCAGGTAATAATATTTACCTTTGAGTGAACAAATAAAACAAAAGTGTTAATTATTATTTTTAATCTTTATTAATTAAAATCATTGTAACTTACAGTGGGTCGTACGAACACAAATACGTGAATATATTTAAAATAAGTTTACGACGATTAAAACTTATTGATTTTTTGGTTCAAATTTAAAAAATTAGGATTATTTTCCATCCCCGATAAAAACAAAGAATTGAAGAATGGAAGCTTGCATTATGATAGATAGAGGCCATTTAGCGCAGCTCATTTTAATAACAAAAATTGTAACCTTTGGAACGAAATGCGTTTTTTTTCTATGAGCCGAAAATCAGTGCTTCAATCGGTTTATTTTTAGCTGTCGATGACTCAATAAATATGCACCGGGGAGGAAACTGCACCTTAGATTTTTGGTTTGTTTTGAGGTCTCCTAACCTCAATTAATTGGTTATGTGTATGTCAATTTAAAATTAATTTCCATAAAACGCAATTGGCGATTGTATTGTATATCACTTATATATATTTCATTACATCAAGTTTAAGTTATTCAAATTAGCTGCATAGAAGGACAGCCTAATTACCATTTCATTTTCCTTTTAGAAATGTGAGCATTGACCTTGAAGTGGAAAGTGTCAGTTTTTCAACTTACTGTTAAATACTTGCAACAAATTGCGCTAACTTACCACAATCTGCATATGTATGTATGTACGCACATATCAACATGAGTAGATAAATGTGCAGCTAATTGTTGCATAGTGGCATGAAACTGTCTAAACTACCAACGAACAAAGTACAATGCTTCACAAATGACAAGTGGATAGCGGTAAATTGGCTCAATTGTGGCTTACAATTACTACATTTACTGTTACTTCTGTTAATTTGGCAAATGTCAAGCATTTGACGTGTAAGCGCGGTCTGGTGAGGTGAAATGTATGCATTTAAGTTGTATTATTTTGTAGCCGAGTGGCAAAAGAACGCTGCAATTCGATCAAACTTGTCTTAAGGTTACAATGTGGCAGTCTAATTTTGTCGAGACTATCCCATCCATACATATGTCCCTCTGCACGGAGGACCGTATATTTTTGGCAATTTCGAATTTATCCTATAGTCTTTCATGAGTTGGGGTATATTTAGCCGAAAAGGAGGAGAGCGCCGGAAATAACGCCTGACTCTCTGGGAAACTGTTCATTTGCGAGATATCCCCTTTTCGTTACCGCCTACTTAATTCCAAACTTTTCTTTCTGCAAAAAGGATGGCTGGCTTGGTCTGATGGATGAAAGGGTATCTCTACACAAAGTTGCTCAATGGAAATCCTACCACCTACCACCTACCCCTCATTCCAGATTTGGTTCATCTGTAGAGACAGCCATGCCCTTCAAGCACAGGATTTCCCACCGTATCCATTCACTGCGGCTTTGGTATTTTGTGCAGGGTTTGTGGTTTCTGCAGGTCCTTGGTATGCAACGAAAATTTTCGCTACTCAGTAGCGAAAACATACAGCTTGCTACAGCTCTAGTATGCTGTAGTCGGTAGGCAGCGTTTTTATATCAGCTGGAAGTCTATTTGTGGTTCCACTGTGCCCAAATAGCATTTCTATCCAGGAGCCTAACGCTGACTTTTCGATAAAAAGATCTATCGATAATAAATCCCGCAAAGCGTTCAGAGCCTCCGTTAGGCAGAATCCCATTGGAGCCGTTGCGCCAACAGCAACTGACCTCTGAATTCCGCTAGTTTTTAATCTTTAGTTGGGGCAGACCATCAGACCAAATGAAAGTATAGGTCGGACTATAATGTACATCCACTGTAAAATCGTTGGCTTCAATCTCCATTTGTTGCCCCTAGCGGTATTTTTGCTGCATAGAGAGCCGCCGAGAGCTTTCTTGCACGTTCCACAATGTTCAACCTCCAACCAAATTTAGTAACCAGAACACCTTCAAGATATTTCACCTTGATCGTTTAGAGGTTGCTCAAAGCAATTTTTAATTTTCACGAAATCGCTCACCGCTTCTTCGTCAAAAATATCGCCGATTTTCCACAAATATAGGTCTAAATTTCTAAAATTTCCCACTACCTAACCTACAAATATAGTAAAACTGCGGTTTTAGTTTTTCACTTTGACGTCAGGATTTTTTCAAAGGACTTTGAAATTTTAACGATATGATGGATTCAAAAAACAATTAACAAAAAATCAATGCAATGTAGAATAACAATATGGGTACCAAATGAGAGAGAAAATTCTGTAAAATTTAAAGACAATAAAGTTTTTTTTTAGTTTAGTTTTAGAGTACAGTGTTGCCAAGTTTTGAATTTGAAAAAGCACGAAAACCCAAAAAATTGCGTTTTTTCTCGAAAAAGCACCAAATTTTTGTCGGAGTATTTAATGGACTTTATATGCAGAAAAAATTTGTTTGTAGGAGTGCTGATTTAAATTAATAAAAATCAATCTTTCTTGCTTGACGGTCGAATTTTTTCTGTTTTCTATAAATTCAAA